GGTACCATGCTCAATTCCAAACTATCCGAGCTCAACAGTTCTCAGGTTATTCCAGCCATGCAGCTGCTCTTGTGAAACTCTGTGGTCTGCGGGGTAGTGGGTGGGTGTGCGCACGTGCGTGTGTGCACGCTTGTGTGCACAAGGGCGTGGTTCTGTGTCAGTGTGTCAGTGTGTACAATCTTATAATCGTTATAATAATTATGTGTGTATCTTTGTGCGTGTATCAGTGCATGCTCCTTCTGTTCGAAATCATGTCTTTTTTTCCACCTAGCAATACAATGGCATAAGTTACCTGAATTGTTGCGCAGTACACAGAACCCTTATATTTTCTCTCGTGATCAGTTTCCCCTATATGCTCCGTACATGTATTCTGTAGACGGCATACGCAGTTTCGACCTCAGCCTCCCCTTGTTAAGCTATCATCATGTTTACACATATTCCATTTGCCATGCAGGCGTTGCTCTGTTAAACGTCTTTTCCTCCTTTAGAACTCTCTTTCAACATCTCCATTTTCCCATACATGTACGATTCTCATGATGAGTATCTATTTGCGTTTGGAAAATCAATCAAAAATAGAATTAACCCTTAGGTGCCGGTAGGTCGATTTCGACCTATGCTGACAGTGCATACTAAAATCGAGCACAGAGCCAGTCACGTACATCGCAGGTGCCTGATTTTTTGTACAGAGACCCTTCAGTAGCTGGCCTGTAGATAGCAATAGAGAAAGTAGGGGGTTTGCATTTGAAAAAGTCGAGTCGTGATCAACGACGATCGCGCAGATCAGCGGAAGTCAATCGAGCGTGGCATGCCTACGCACGCGTCCCGCAACACGAACAAAACGTTGCTGTTTCGCTTCGTTTTCGACTTGTACAGTTCATGGTTACTGCAGCTGACCTCCGTCATGGATGCTGCAGGAGCGCTTGAGTTGTTTGAAGAGCTGGAGGCCGATGATGCCCCTGTAGAAGAAGAATCAGAAGACGACGATGGTGAATAATCTGACGCTCTTTTCTCTGACGGAAACCTGCCGTCATCAGATGAGGAAGACTGACTCAACGATGATTTGGTTTTCGGTGAATTTCTTGAGAACGGCAGCTCTTCAGATGAGGACAAAATTTCCGACGATGAGCTTCAAGAAGCTGTAGGGCGAGGGCAAGCGCAGCCAGTTCGTGGACGTGCTCCGCTCGCGCTGCGCGGAGGAATTGCTCGCGGCGCTGATCGAGCTCAGCCAGCTGATGGAACAGCTGATCGTGGCGCGCGTGGCGCGTGTGGCGGAGGCCGTGGCGGAGGCCGTGGACGAGGTAGTGGATTCGGCGTGCTGAGTGGTGTTGGCGACCAAGATGTTCTTGGACCAGCGCAGTAGCAGACCCTATTGTAGATTTTTCTGACTTGAAAATTCAAAAATCGGCTTTTGCTGTGTCTTGCCATTCAGAATACATACTTTTGTCACTACATTATCTAAACGGTTGCGGAGATATAGGCTTTCCAAAAAACTGAGCCAAAACTACGAAAAATCTAAAATTCAGTCAGGCACCAAAGGGTTAAATGAAAAAATGTGCACGTGTGTGTATGATGTTGACTACTTTCTGCAACCAGAAGAAACTGGTGGCTATATGCTGTTTTTGACTACACACGCTCCATCTTCTGTAGTCAGGGGATTTGGTTAGGCGACTGCAACTAGCGTATTTCCCCGAATATAAGCTGCACTTTTTACATTAGAATTTTCAAGGGAAAAAAGGGGGTTCGGCTAAGTTACAATCGGGCATGACTTACTACTGCAGTGACTTTATCCAAACAATACGGCTCAAACCTGAACGTGGGGTGCGACTTATAATCGAGTGTTACTAATACTAGGGGAGATACGGTAGCCTCTGTTATCTTCCTTGCAGCTCGCGTGTTTCTGATTCTTTTCTTGTGCCCATGTTTCCATGCCCGTAGGTATAGGGGGAGCCAATTGGCTGGACTCTATACAAGGAGTGATGTCCATCTAAACTTTGAACTTACAGTTGATTCCTAGCTTGTATAGTGGATTTTGGACCAATGGACTCAATACAGGGGATGGACATCATATAGGGGCTGGACGCTCTACTGAGTCCAACATATATGCTGTTTTGTGTACATGTGGTTCATCTTTTGCAGTCAGTGGATTTGGTGAGGTGACCGCAGCTAGCCTCCATCATCTTCCTTGCAACTCGCGTGTTTCTGATTCTTTTCTTGTGAACTTGTTGCTGTGCTTGCAGACCGACTCTGATTTCAACGGTGTTGGAGATGCATGTGACACCACATATAACGCGGACGGAGATCAGTAAGTATTTTAAGAGGATTGTTTTGTTTCCAGTTGTCTAGTCAGGTAGTGGCAAGACACACTCGCGACCTCTTTTCTAAGTGTCAGAGAACTGGTGCCTAAATTGATCTGTGATTATGAGGGAGTAAAGAGTTAGCGCTGAAGCTCTAAGATATTAGTGACGGAAGCGTGCAAGGTCGTCCGTCTGTTCATCTCCAT